AAACTCACACCTACCTATGACCCAGAAATTTCACTCCTCAGTGTTTCCCCAGGAGAAGTGAAACCATGCATCTACTCGAAGACTTAGAAGGGAATGGGTACAGCAGTCTTATTCACAAAAACCCCAAACTGGAAACAACCTAAATCTCCATCAATCGAAGAATGGAGAAGCAGATGGGGTACAACTGTTCTATGGAATGCAGCTCAGCAGTAACAAGGGGAAATGCGACGGATACCCACAGTGGCATGGATGAGTCTTAAACACCTTTTGCTGAGTGAAAACAGCCAGAGCCATAAAAGTACAGACTGTGTGATTCCATGTACACAAAGTTCCAGGACAGGCAAAATCTGCAGTGACAGAAGTCAGAAAGTGGTTGCCTTTGGGGGGACTTGACTATAGTCAGGGTGAATTGACCAGAAAGAGGCACAAAGAAATTTTCTGGGATAACAGGAACATTCTAGATCTTGCTTTGGGTAATAGATACATTGGATATATAACACTGTCAAAATTCATCAAACGGAACACTTAAGACCTGTGCGTTTTATTATGTGTAAGTTATATGTCAAAAAAAAATCAAGGGAAGATACATCAAATGGTTAAGAGGGTATCTTAGCCAACTCAAAATGGATATGGCAGGAGAATGAGGAATAAACCTTTGTTACTCTAACCCTTCCGATGTGGGGCTCGTTTGTTACTGCAGCATAGTTTAGGCTAAGCTGGGCCCACACTCCCTCTCAAAGGTATCATGAGGATTAACAATCTGACATGTCACTGACTCTACCATGTGCCACGGATGCAGGTAAACAAGAAAAGATGTTGCATCTGTGTCACAAGAATGGGCTGTAATTTTTCAAAGAGCTTTCAGCGTGCCGAAAGGAGCTCTTAGAGGTTAAAAATATGGTGGCAGAAATGAAAAACTCAAGAAGGGCTGAAAGGTAAAGATGAGGAAGTCACCCAGAACATGGAATTCAGAAAAGGCTGGAGAGCTGGGAAACAGGAGGAAAGGTAAGAAGATCAGGGGACCAGTCAAGAAGGCCCAATCTCTAAATAAAAGGAGTTCCAGAAAGAGAGGAGAGAAGAAATGGAGGAGAGAAAATCATCAAAGAATGTTTTAGCAACATTTCCCAGAACTGATGGATATGAGCTGCCAATTGAAAGGGACCGCCTAAACACAATAAACAAAAAAGGACCCATGCCACGGCACATCACTGAGAAATGTCAGAACATCACAGACTTAAGCTTCCAATGAGGAGGAAACAAGTTTTATAAGAACAACAACAACAAAAAAAAACAAATTACAGTCAAGATTATCAGCAACACTGGATGTTAGAAAACAAAACAGTCAAAATTCTGAATGAACATTATTTCCAACCCAGAGTTCTATACCAAGCCAAACTATTAGTTAAGTATGAGGGTAGGATAAAGACATTTTAGACCTACAAGTTCTCGAAAATTTGACCTCCTTACATGTTTTCCTAAGAGGCTCCTGGAGGCTATGATCCACCTAAAAAGAAGGTAAAAATCAGTAAAGAGAAGGATGTGAGTTCCAGGATCTATTGCAAGAGAGAGCGGGGCAAAGGGAACCTCTGGATGGTGGTGACAGGGTCCCAAGGCCATACCTGGGCCCCTTTAGATCAGAGCAGTTGAGAAGGCTCTGGAGAGATTTCTTCAGTTAATGAAATACCTAATGTTCTCTTACGTATTGAAATGAGATTTGTACAAGTGAGGGAGAGTTTGGTGCCAAATTACTGATAAGTACATAAGTAAGGAAATGATTAAAATGGCAGTAATTAATTCTAGGGAAAATGAAATCTTGTGCAGGAAAGGAAATTATAGCACACAAATAACATGACTATATAAATACTGTGTTAATATTGTTAACATAGTCATGATAATGCCAACACAGAATAATGATCTAACTAGAAAGAAATATGATGGTAACGATTGGGAAGACGAGAGAAAAGGAAGTGTGTGGTGTGGGTGCTGGTGGGCATGTGTACTATGTGTGTGGGTGTGGGGTGTGGGAAGGGGGAAGTGAGTGTGGGGTGAAGGAGGGGAAATCCACATCTTCCTTCGTGGGAAACCAACAAATAATACCTGGAACAGAAATAACAAGGGGCAGGAGAAGCATGTAGTTGAGTGCTGTGGAGGTAATTTTAAAGAGAACCTTAGTGAAAATTGTTATTCTGGGGAGCGGTCACAGTGAGGAGGGAGTTTTGTTTCCATAATAAGTTTTAGAAAACTATTTGATTCTTTAAACCAGTCGTTCTCAGCCAAAAGCAATTTTGCCCCCTCCCCACCCCCAAGGACATGTGACAATGTCTGGAGACATTTCTGGTTGTCACAGCTGGGGAGCCATGGGGCTGCTACTAGCATCCAGTGGGCAAAGGTCAAGGCTGCTGCTGAACACCTTAGAATGCACAGGATGGCCCTGCAACAAAGAGTTCTTCCGCCCCAAATGCCAGTGTTGCCAAGCCAGAGAAACCCTGCTTTAAACCACATGCACATAACTTTGATAAGAGACCAGTGAGGAAAGAGGGAGAGAGTAGCGAGGCTCTTGGAGTGTGTGATTGGGACTCAGTGAAGGTGAACAGGGCTGCAGAAGCAGAAGTGCTCCTGATACAGCCAGAGTGGCGGTAGGGAGGCTTTCCCGAGGTAACAATGAAGATGAGTTTTAAAGGGTAGTAAGAAATGAGCTGAATGTGGGGCTAGGAGGTTGAAAAGCTAACCATTATCTAAATCAAATCATATTTAAATTAACAACATTAGAATATATACCTCAGCTCTGAACATGTCATCTCTCTGATTAAAGCACTATTAGACTGTTTGGTAAAATTTACAAAGACATAGGCAATAAGAACTAAAGAGAGGAGTCAGCAGATATGACAACCATAAGACAATTCCCTAATTATGCTTCTAATTTGATGCTGAGCTCCCTGGAAGCCAGTTCAAAAGAAGCAGTTCTTTTAATTATATGATTCCTGTTACCAGGAAGGAAGGAGCCCATCAGACTCTCGGGGAAAATAGAGCTATCCCAGCTGGCATTAAACTTATTCACTGGAGCTCCAGACAGAGAGGCTAATAGCCCTGATGGACACATTGGCAACACCCTTGAATTGCAAAGGCAGCACCACCTTGCACAGGTGGCTTCCTCATGTGATGGCTTTCTGTTAAAGCAAAATGAATGAAATTAAAAAGCAACTCAGTGAAAAGTGATCCCCAGGGGTTCATAGTGCTGAGCCTTCTGGGGGTGACATTATAAAATGAAGTGACTCTTCTTTCACCTAACAATCAGTTATGGGATTTTATCCTGAGGAAATAGATAAAAACTAAACATACACATGTGCTTATTAGATTCTTTTACTTCTAATGGCAAAATCATAGAAATGACCTAAATAACCAATAATTGGGCAGTTTTTCCAAATTACATAAGAAATACATACATATCTTCTTATTAAAAATCCAATGTTACAGGCAAAGCTAAAATCCCTCTTGACCACCTGTACTGTCTCCTCATCCAGGCCTCCCTCCCAGAGCATCCACAATTATAAATCTGCTGTATTTCTCTCCACATCTTTTTTCTCTTCACTTACGTATGTAAGTATGTACATGTAGAAATAGCTATTTCATTTTACATAGAGACTTGACAATCAAATGGTGTCATGGTCAACAATACGGTTCTACGACTTGCTGTTTTGCTTAATACTGTATCTTGGAGTTTCTTATAGCTGTATATTTGGAGCTCCCTCAGTCTTTTTAACTGCTATATAATATTCCATCGGTGAATGTCCCATAGATTGTTTAATGATTCCAGTATTTCTCCAGTAACTATTACAGCACTGCAGTGCAAATATGGACATATGTCCCCATGTCACACTGCTGGGTCTACAGGGATGTACGATTTTTATTTTTATACTATATACTTTGTTTTAATTTACTTTTCTTTGACTACAAGTGGTATTACAAGTGATATTAAGAACTCTATATTTTGGATATTTGGACATTTATATTTCTTCACTGTGAACTGCTCAGTCATTCTATGGTGCAAATATTTTCCCCCAGTGTGTCCCTTGTCCTTTAACATTATTTACAGTACCTATTGTCAGACATATATTTTAATCTCTGTTTTTTTTTTGCTTTTATAATTTATGTTTACTCCAAATTAATAAAGATATTTTCTTTGTTTTTATTATAGTGACTGCTTTGAGGTACCAGTGTAATTTTATTCTTTTACAAATGGGAGAGACCATTCTTCTGGCCCAGTCTATGGAATAGTTCATCTTTTTCTCACTTATTTAAGTATAGAATTTCTTAAAGACTAAATTATAATATCTGTGGGTCCATCCTGTCTATGAATCTTCTATCCCTGCACTAATAACAACTGCTATTAATTACAGTTCATGGTAGGAAAGTATTTAAACAGGTGATGCTAAACTCACTCAGTTGACTATTATGTATAAGATTAATGAGTATTTTTAAAGATTAGTAAATATGAAAATGGTATAGTAAAATAAGTATATCTGTATAAAATAATGAAGTAAAAGCTCAGCATAAAACTTTAGATACGCTGTACTTTTAAGTAGATGAAAATACACATGCATCTGAACAAGGACAAACATGAGTTTGAAGAAATGAAAGTAGTTACATAAGGGTGGTATATATGCAGTCCACTTTTTCTTTTTTTAATTTCATTTCAAGCCATTGTAATATTGTCTTTCTAAAAAATTTTTCATTTGTTTATTATTTAATTATTTTATTTTGGTGGGGGGTAGGTAATTAGGTTTATTTATTTTCAGAGGTACTGGGGATTGAACCCAGGCCCTTCTGCATGCTAAGCATGTGCTCTGCCACTTGAGCTATACCCTCCCCACCGTGTTGTCTTAACAATAAAAGAAATTCACAATGTTCCCCAGCCATAAAAGGTTTTGTGCTCATTTTTGCCATCTCATGGGTTTGTTCCTGATCCATTCTTCACACCTTCTTTCTGCTTATGGTTCCAGATAAAACCTATGTGGTTGACTTGAGTAATGAGCGAGCCATGTCGTTGACCATCGAGCCACGGTCCAACAAACCGAGCACTGACTCTGTCCCTGGCTGCTTCGTGTGTTTGGACCCTTGGACCTGCAGCACCAACCTCACCCTGACACCTGGATCCAAACATAAGATCTCCTTCCTTTGTGATGATCTGACTCGCCTGTGGATCAATGCCGAGAAAAACATAAGTACGCCCCCACCCCCTTAGCTTTCTCCTCCCGAGCCTTGGGCAGCTCTCCCCTCCCTGCCCTGAATTCTCAGTGGGGCCTACTGGCTAGGTTGTAAATCATCAGAAATGCCCCCCTCAGAGCAAAGGCAACCAAAAAGGGCAGAGCAAGATGGTGGAGCCATGCCCCTTTGGGACCAGCAACCTCTTTTGGAATGTGCATCCTCTGAAAGTGCATGACATCCCCCATGTCCATGCTGACATCTCCTCTCTCCAGCCTCTGGTCTCCCTCTTGTGAAATCCTCATAGCCTTCCCTAACCTCTCCCATCCGCATGCCCCCTGCTTCAACGCTCACTGCCTACTTGTCTTCTCTGGCATGAGACCAAGTCTTGAGGCCAAGAAGTTGGGCTGCTTCCATTTTTTCCCTCTCCCTTTAACTCCCACCGGTGCCAGACATGGGCTAATCATGTAAGAAATGTTTGATCGACGGAGGGCAGCCAAACCAGTAGCCACCTCCCTGCTGGGCCACCATCATCTCTGGTGTGGCTGCTCTTAGAGCCTCCGCTGATGCAGCAGCTGAGGCCACGAGAGGCAAAGCAGCCTGCCCGAGGACACCTCATTAGGAAGCGGCAGAGCTGAAACACCAGCTGAGATCTCCCCAGCTCCACTCCCTGCTCTAACCACTATGCAGAACTGCCTCCCTACGGTCAGGGATTATGGGCAGCAGGGCTGGGAGAAGGAAAAAAACCTGAACCCTGCCTATGTGGCACTTAGCATCTCAGACACAGGTTGTCTTAGATGAGAACTTGAGCAAACAAGAGAAAATTTCAACCCTGAATACTCCTTAGAAGTTGGTCTGCCAGTTTAGCAGAGAGTGAGAAAGAGAGCAGGAGGGGAAGCTAGCAAAGGAGCATCAAGGAGTCAGGAGTGCAGGACAGAGCAGGAGAGGGGAGACCAAAGGGAAAAGCAAGACAGCCTCAGGCTGATTTGAGAGCTGGGGAGGGTGCACGTCCGGTCTCCTCCCAGCCTGGGTACCCTGAACCCCTCTTTTCCAGCCTGCACAGACCACCGATACTGCCACAGGAAGTCCTACTCACTCCAAGTACCAGGGTACATCCTCCAGCTGCCTGTGCAGCTGCACGACTTCTCCTGGAAGCTGCTGGTACCCAAGGACAGCCTCAGTCTGGCCCTGGTGCCAGCCCAGAAGCTGCAGCAGCACACGCACGAGAGAGCCTGCAATGCCAGCTTCAGCTACCTCTTGGCCAGCGCTGTCCCCGGCCAGGACCTTCGCTTCGGCTTCTTCTGTTCTGGAGGCTCCATCGAGCAGATCCGGGTGAAGCAGAACATCTCAGTGACCCTCCGCACCTTTGCCCCCAGCTTCCAGCAGGAGGCCTCCAGGCAGAACCTAACCGTGTCCTTTATCCCCCACTTCAAAGGTAACGGGATCTTTCAGTCTCTCCCCATCTCCCTGCCCCCTTAGCCTTTCTTCTTTGGGCACTTATCTTATTTTGGTTCTGTGATCATCTTAAGTTGTCAGTTTGAAGAGCAGGGACAGCTGAGTGGGCTGGTCCTCACACAAGATGATCAGTCCTGATCCTGACTTTACCATTAACCTAGTGTGGAAAATTCCAGGAGATAGAAACACAAGACTCACTGACAGTGGGAGGTGATGGTCAGTAGGCAGCAGAACAAATAATCAGGCTCGAGGCTTTTTTGGAGGCAGGCAGGGCATAAATGAGAGCTAACCAAATAGTCCCAAGTTCTGGATTCTTAAGGTGGCAACATAAAAATCCTTATGCAGACATTTTTACCAATTCTGCTTTGACAATTTGGAATGTGGTCCGGAGGGCACAGAAGAGGGACTGCTGAGAGATGAGTCTCTAGAGCATTCTCCTACACAGAGGAGCAGACTCCTCCTGGGAGGCTGGTGTCTGATCTTCCGAGACAGGAAATGAGGTTTAAACTGGTCACGGCGGTGAACTCAACATGGTTGATTTTAAAATTCACAGTCACCCTTACAGGTTGCTCAGTTCACTTTAAAATTGACCAAGACCTCTATTCAAGGCTTACTTGGTACTTCTGTTCTCAGAGGCATGGGTGGGAGGGTGATGAATCTTTGGTCCTAAGATTAAGGTCAGTCCAGGCTGCCTGGTGTCTTCAAGGCTACCAGAGAAACTCCTTCCGGGGAGTCTTCGAAAATAAGATACACCGTCCTCAGAGTGAAATGCTGGAGTTTTAATCTCACCTGAAGGTAAAGGGTGAATTAGTTGACATGTCAGAGGCCTTTTCAGCTTTGCTGAAATTCTGAAACTTGCAGAATTCTAAATTCTTGAATTTTTCTAAATCTCCAAAACAGAGATCAGTTTATACCAATCCCACTGCAGAGCAGGGCATTAGGTGGATATTAGCTCCACTGAGGGCATTTCTGAAAGGAAGCCAGGATAAGCACTGGTTTGGCAAACTGGCCTGTTTTTGGTTTGATTGTTTGTTTGGCTGGTTGATTGTTTTTTTTTTTTCAAAAAGCCAGAGAACCTAATCTGAGACTCTAATCTTGTGTTGACCAATACAGTAACCACTGGCCACGTGTGGCAATTTAAATTATATTAATAGTAAACAGAATTAAAAAATCGGTTCCTCAGTCACACCAACCACATTCCAAGTCTTCGCAGACACGGCAGCTACGGCTACTCTGCTGGCCAGTGTGGATCCAGAACCTCTCCATCACGGCAGGAAGCGCTTTCTGATAGCACTGGTCTGGACAGTGTAACATTGTCTGCTCCACCCTCCTGTTTGCTCCATCTTGATTGAGTGAAACAACATCTATATGGATTCTCCTCCCTTTCCTGCAGAGGATGGTGTTTTCACAGTGACCCCCGACAGGAAAAGCAAGGTCTACCTGAGGACCCCTAACTGGGACCGGGGCTTGCCGTCCCTCACCTCGGTGTCCTGGAACATCAGCGTGCCCCATGACCAAGTGGCCTGCCTGACCTTCCTCAAGGAGCGGACTGGTGTGGTCTGCCAGACGGGGCGTGCTTTCATGATCATCCAGGAGCAGCGGTCCCACGCTGAGGAGATCTTCAGCCTGGAGGAGGAGGTGCTGCCCAAGCCAAGCTTCCGCCATCACAGCTTCTGGGTCAATATCTCCAACTGTAGCCCCGTGAGTGGCAAGCAGCTGGATCTACTCTTCTGGGTCTCACTTACCCCAAGGACTACAGGTAAGGCCTTTTGGTGGGTGGTAGTGGGTCACAAATTGGCAGCTGAGGGGTCACGAGCAAGCCTGGAAGGCGAGTCAGAAAACATGAATTTGAGTCCTGGTAGTCCATGTATCATTCAGCTATTGCAACAATAATGCTGCATAACAAGCACCCCAGAACTCAGTGGCTTAAGAATGCCATTTATTATTGCTTGCATGTTGGCTGGGCAATTCTGGTGAGCTGGACTTGTCAGGGTTCATTCAGTCAAGCACTTGTGGGCAGCTTCAGGTTGCCTAGAAAGCTTTGTCAGCCTTGGCTGGGCCCTCTCATGTGTCTGGGGACAGCCAAGATCAGCTGGAATAAGTTGGCTTCCTTGGCTCTCCTCCACATGGTCTCTTCTCTAGCCTGGGCCTGTGGCAGAGGCAGACAGGTCTTAGAGAGGCCGGGGGAAGCACACAAGGTCTCCTGACACATCGGTTAGAAATTTACACGCCATCCCTTCAACAGCATTGGTTTGACCAGCCCAGATTCACGGGGTGGGCAGACTCCACCTTCTGATGGGAGGGGCTACAGAGTCACACAGTAAAGGACATGGTTCAGGGAGAGGGCAGAATTGGGGCATTTTTGTAGTCTATCTACTATTAATCTCTCTCTGACGTAGGAGGAGTCTCTTTACTCCTCTGATCTTCCTCATCTTCCTCGGTAGAGAGCAGATGATGTTAACTATGCAGTGAAAGTATCACTGGGGATTTGGTGTTGGTGATTAAAATGTGGGGACCTGAAAAGTGTGACACAGATACATGGTGCTGGGATTTTTTATTTAGCGCAATGAAACGCTGGAATCTATGAATGCCCTAAGTCACAGTGAATGCCCTCAGTCAGAGGCCTCAGAGCCACGATGAGGATTTCGCTTTTCTGCCCAAAGTGGCAGGATCCACTGAAGCGTTCAGACAAGGAACGCACGTGTGGCAGGGCAGTCTTTGGTGGGGCCATGCTCACTGTTTATTCCAAGAGAGTCACAGAGCATCGCCGTGTTGGAACCAGAAGGGACCGTGCGTGTTGTTCCCACGGCCCCGTCCCTCTCTGGCAGTCAGGGAGATTGCGTGTCCACCCGAGGCCACGCGGCTGGTGAGCAGCAAGAGCACTGACTGCAGCCGGAAGCCGCCAGTGAACAGCTCCCTCACACTCTCAGATTAGCGCCTGGATTTTCTTCCTCGTTACATTCATATTCTGTCATTCATTTCTATTCCTATTTTCTCTCAGTCTCACCTTCTGTCTTCTTGTTGGACAAGCCAGAAATTCTAAATCCCTCTTTGGTGCAGGGCTCTCTGATTTATTTTCTTTTTCCCTTTGCACAAGTGTAGGAGAAGGGGGGCAGCACACGTGGAACCACCCTCTCCTAACTCCCTCACCTCTGGCCTCTGACCCCCTGCTCTCTCTCCTCCACCCTCTGCTCTTCTGTCCTCAGCACTGGCTGTGGCGATGGGGGGGAGCACAGCTGGGCCAGGCCAGGGGTGGCCTTTGGAGTAGGTCTAGTAGGTCCCCCAGTTTGTTTTAGGTTCCTTTCACTACCCCTAGGTTTAGTGGCTTAGAGGATGACCATTTTGCTTGCTTGCAATCCCGTGGGTCAGGAAGTTGGACAGGGCCCGGCAGGGGTCCTGTCTCTGCTCTGAGATAATCCGGGGCCTCAGCCAGATGCCTCGAACAGCTAGGGGGCCCTGGGATAGCTCACCTTGGGGCTCACTTTTGACTGGGAGCCTTGGTTTGTTCTCTCCACTTGGCTGCTAGGGCTTCCTCACAGCGTGGTGGGCTCAGCATATCAGACTTCTTACATGGTGGCTGGCTTTTCCTCAGAGAGAAAGGGCAAGAAGCTGCCAGGTTTCTAAAAGGCTCAGCCCACAACTGCCACAGCCCAGATTCAGAAGGGAAGGAAGTAGATTCCCCTTCACGTGAGGAGCAGCGTGTGCATAAGGGGAGGAAGCAATGGGCTGCGGCCATCTTTGGGGACCGTCTGCTCCAGTTCATCACCAGCCTAACCCCACACATCTCCTCGTCTCCCTCCCTTGTGTCTCTGCTCACAGACCTGACTGTCATCATCCTCACCGTGGTGGGAGGTGGCGCCTTACTGCTGTTTGCCCTCGGACTCATCATTTGCTTTGTGAAAAAGAAGTAGGTGGAATTTCTCAAACTGTCTTCACTTGATCTGACTCCTCCTTACATCACACAGGCCAGAGCTGTTGTTAATTGTTGACTTTTTCCCTTGCGTTCCATTTTCCCCCCAAAGATCAGTCAATGTTAAGTAATAGTGCCAGATGTGAATTATGTTTGGAGGGGAAAAAAATTCCATACCTAGCAGGGAAAAAATTATAGATGTGTGGTGACATTTTAGCCTGCAGTTTTTAACGCAGCTGCCTCAGCACGAGTTCCCTGTGAATCATTTACTGTCCGCTCATTAGACTGGTCATCACAGGGGTGAGCTTGGCAGGAAAATGCTCACATAGGCCCCGCCAGGCCACGCCCCTCTCCATCACCTTGAGGAAAATGCACACATGCTGCCCAGCTCAGTCCCCTCCGATTTCTTAAGCAAACAGTTTATGTTATTTACTGGACTTTAGACAAGCACCAAAAACCAGCCCTGTGGGCCAGAGGAAGGAAGACCCAGTTAACTGACTCAGTTTCACCTTCCACCCACTCAGGTTGACAGCTTCTGTTTTACAAGAGGAAAGTGTTGACTTTCTTAGATGGAGTACTGCTACCAGATTTCATCAATTCTGCTCAGATTTCTGATTAAAGCCATGTTGCGGGTGGGGGTGGGCATCTATTTTCCTTAGCATGATTTTACCTTCCAAACAGCTGGAGAAAAAAAATTTTTAATTAACTGGGGCTGCAAGCAAACAATTACAATTCCTAACCAGCAGTGAGACTGCCTCTGTCTCCGTGTATGCAGACGGGCTGTCCTGCGGCAGATCCAGGGGGACGCTTCTCTGTGAAATGGGAGTGTACACATCTCTCATGAGGAGGAGGACTTCTTGTAACAAAATATTGTTTTATTGTTTCTTGCAGGAAACTTTCCTGTCAGGGGTGCACAGTGTGTCCCACCCAGATGGGAAAGCATGGCATTAACACGGGGCCCCAGCTTCCTCATCAGGAGGGAATTGGGCGAGGCAAGGGGGTGGGGTGGCCAGCACATGCCTCTGTCTCTCAAGTGCCCCAGTCCTGGCCTGAGAGTGACCAGCCCGGCCTTGGGGTGGGGGAGACCACTGGCTGGCAGACAGGTTTGTGTAAGACCCATCCATCTTCAACTTGGGATTGGAAGGCAGACAGGTTCTGCAGTGAGAAGGACGGAAGACACTGAATTTGCTCATTAACCATTTATTTCCTGGGGGCCTCCTGGGTGCTGGGAACCAGGCGAGGTGCTGGGGATACACCCGTGAGCAAGACAGTCTGGTCTCCCGCTGTCTGTGGGGACAGAGGGACTAAAGGGGCAGGCAGGTGAAGAGTCGGTGTCAGGGCAGCCTGAGAAGAGCCTGGTGAGGACAAGCAAGGAGCTCGTGGGAGGGGCGTCCTCACGGGGCGTCAGGCTGGTGCCCTTGGAGCCCGCCACCCTGGCCAGGGAACTCAGTGTTACAAACTACATGCACTGGATTTATTTTTATCTCTGAAAAGGGCAGGTTCACAATTAGTCAACCACCAGCTGTGCATTATATGGTCCATTATGCTAATTGAGCTAACGTCCTCCATTTGAATCTCTGGTCAGCTGAAAAGTCAGCGTCCCCTGCTTTCCACTGGTGGAGACGGAGGACTTTGTTTTCCAGGGCAGGGAGTGCTGATGCCCATCCATGTCCAAGTACCAAAGAACATTACAAACCAAACGTTAATGGTTTACAGAGGAACTCGGGCACCCCCACCTTATTTCTGTCTTCTTTTTAGCTCTTTCCTTAGCTGGAGGTCACTGCTGAAGGGACTGGATCCCTCTGCTAATACTGAATTCTGCTGTCCCCAACTCCAGCTAGAAACTAAGATGCAACTCCCCATCCTGAGTTTTGTATGTCGTCCTTTAGACTCTAGACAGTCATAGCCTGTCCTCGTGTAAAAGTGGGATGAAGCATTAACTGTGAGAAAGAACTCAGAGACTCACAGAAGGTTGGGCTGGGCTACCAGTGCCTGATGTGGTTGATTTGAAACGCTACCCGTTTCTGGTAGGAAAGAGGGGTTGTCAGATGTCTCCACCATTGGATGCCACGCAATTATCGAAGCAAATTCAGGGGCAGATGGTGTTAACAGTGACCTCTCTAAACCACTGTCTGCTCCTCTTTCCACCTTGGAAACTAGAGGCAGAAGTTGGTCCCTTCTAAAAGTTTGCTAGTGACAACAGCTTCAGTTTCATACACTAAGCGATCTGAGGGACTTAGGGGAAAAATGGTCAGAAACCTGAAGGATCGGGCAGGTTCCAGTAGGGATGTACGAATGGTGCACCTCTGAGGTCATTTCTTCCTGACCTCTGTCTTGTTCCCTTTCTCAGTAAGAAAAAGAAGATCAGCAAGGGCCCGGCCGTAGGTATCTACAATGGTAACATCAATACCCATATGCCAATGCAGCCAAAGAAGTTTCAGAAAAGACGGAAGGACAACGACTCCCATGTGTATGCCGTCATCGATGACACCATGGTGTACGGGCACCTGCTGCAGGATTCCAGCGGGTCCTTCCTCCAGCCAGAGGTTGCCACCTACCAGCCCTTCCAGGGCCCCATGGGCGACTGCCCCCCCTCCCCACCCCCTACCTGCTCCAGGGCCCCAACCGCAAAGCTGACCACAGATGAGCCATCCCCTGGCTCCCCTCCTGAGTCTGAGAGCGAACCCTACACCTTCTCCCACCCCAAAGACACGAATATAAGCAACGGGAACACGGACATTCCCTTGCTGGACACCCACAAGCCCACAGAGCCTGGGGAATAACTTGGACCCACTCCAAAGACTTTGCATAAAGCAGGGCACTGAGACGCCCTTTGGGGTTCCCAACCCGAAATCCTAAAAGAAGAGGAGTTGTGTGGAAGGACAAAGAGGTTTTCCTGGACACCACCAACTTCTTCTGATTTCCAAGTGGACCCATTCCGATGATGAGACGTTGAAAATGAATTGTGATCTGGGTACAGTCATCACAGTGCATGTCCTTCTAAACTCAGGTTGGCTTGTAACCAGCCCATAGTGAGAGGGCAGAGGCTCAGTCACCCAGGACAGGGTTGCAACCAGCCCTAGATTTGGATTTGGAGTTAGACTTCTTCAGGTTGACATTTCCGATCCCTAGGAGCCCACCCGAGGTCCCTGCTTTCACTGGGGTCCCCTGGGTGAAAATGACAATGTGCCTTTTATTATTATCATTATTATTAATATTTATTTGGTGGTCCTGTGTATTTAAGAAGTTGAATGTCTACCCACGCAGCTCTTTTCACCTGACATAGTGACAACTCATGCTGACTAGTTAGACAGCTGGGTTTTGACTTCTGCTGACCACTAGATAAACATGTGCTTGCCCCCTAGGAGGTGGAATAGGTAATCTGTCCAGCCAGAAAAGGCTGTGTGTGTGTTTGAAGGCACTGACGCCCACCTGCTTTGACAAGAGCCCTCCTGGTTCTCTCGCTCGGCATGTGGTTATCCCACTGCAGAAAGACATCCTCAGTCCCATTGTCCTTTGACCTAGAAATAAGAGACGTTTCCTTGAATTGCCATGTGTGGCTCTCCCAGCTGCAGCGATACTTTGGCATTGAAACAGAAACTGAGAGAATATTTTCATCCTCTAAAAACATTTAAAAATACACCAGAGAGTGGCCACCCATATTCGTTTCCTAATGCGACTGAAGCAAATTACCACAAACATGGTGGCTCAAAACAGCACAAATTTCCTACCTTATGGTCCTGGAGATCAGAAGCTCAAAGTGGGTTTCACTGAGCTAAAATCAGCGTGTCAGCAGAGCCTCCTTCTGGAGGCTCCGGGGAGAATTCGTTTCCTTGTCTTTTCCAGCTAGTAGAGGCTGCTCACCTTCCTTGCCTCCGATGGTGGCCATGTGACATTCCTGCATCCCTCTTTTACTTACAAGAAACTTTCAGTTATAAAGGACCCTCCCAGATAATACAGAATAATCTCCCCATCACAAGATCTTTAACTTAATCACACTGAAAAGTCCCTTTTGCCTTGTCACGTAACATATCCAGAGGTTCTGGGGATTAGGACACAGATCATTATTCTGCTGACCACACCTTCCTGCCCCTGCAAGAGAGACAAGATGATCCAGCCCACAGGTGTGCTATGCTTAGCCTGCAGCATCTTTCTAAAGAATTAGTTCCCAACATTTAAAATTATAAAATGTTTACATAAATATCCAGGTCAGAAGATCAGACCACGCTGGAGCTCACATTCTCACTGAGCAGCAAGTGGCTGGAGTTGAAATGCAGCTCCATCATTAGATGGGGCATCTGGCTCACCAGTTCGCCGCAGGCCCCGCCGCTCCCTGTCGCCTCCCACACTGAGGCCGAGTCTCCGTTGCTACTGGTCAGTGCCCTGCAGATTTGCTTCTCTCATCATGAAATGGAAAGTTCGGAACCCGTATCTCATCTCAAATAAGAAGACCAGCCTCGAGGCTAATGTGTGCTTCAGGAAAGATTTTTTTACACACAGCCCACATCCTTCATTTATACTAATTACCACTTGGCTCCTGTGGGTGTTTGCCTTTATGGACCCTGCTCTCATCTGGGAGAAGAGGGATTGTTTTGTGACTTGTCAGCACAGTCCCAAGATCAATACTTCTGTGGCAAAACCTTCTTTAAATAATAGATTCACATCTATTGTGTTCAGTGACTTCCCCTTGGAAACACACTGCCCAGACTTGTCCACCATGAAAATGAGTTGTCTCCATGAAAATGAGTTTTGCAATCTCCTAAATGCTGTGTTCCAAGGTCTGTTGAACTCTCTCCAGAAAGAAGAGTATGTTGTGTTTTTTTTTACTTTTTTTGTTGTTGTTTTACTTATGCCTTCGGTGCTGCCTGTGACACTTTTACTTCTGAATGGCTGGCTCTGTACAGGGACCCTTGGCCTCTTGACCTGAGATGCTGGCAAACCTCCCCCATGAAGGGCCAGAGGAGGGCTGTGGCTTCCTTCCCTCTGCTGAAATTGTGTCGTTATTTAAAGTCACCGTTGAAGCTCTGGCCCTCCATTCTCTGCCTTCCCCAACCTCCTGGCCTCTTCTGAGGGTCACTCAGCCAGTGCCCTGCATCCCACCCCAAAGTGTGGCTGTCATCACACATGTCACCGTTACTTACAAGGGCCCCACGTGGCCATCTTTTAATGGAGAGCTCAAAACTCCTGGCCAAGATGTGGTCTTCCTGAGATCTCAGGTGGACTTAATGTCTCTGAAGACACGCCTCCTTGAAGGGGCCAGCCCGACGTACCCCTGGCACTTTTCTTTAAAGCCTGGTCCCCACTTCTGTAAAATATTTCAGGGTTGCTGGAAACCAAACATGTTTGTTGAAGCCCAGCTTGTGCCAGCACGGTGCCCTCCACGCTGGCTCTGCAGATGCCGGGCAGCCCTTGCGCCCATCTGCTGTGGCTGTGACAAAGCCCGGCTCAGACAGGACTGAATAATGCTGCGGTCATTTTGCACGGGAGGGGGACGTCCCAAGGAAGAAAGAGTCAAGGAGGAAAAGCGTTAAGTCCGTGGGACATGACTTTGGTCAAGCTTAGGACTGGTTTGTGTGGATCTGCAATGCTTCACTGGAAATAATTTATTTGTTGTAGATAATTTTTAGGTAGCATTTTATTCATTTCCTACACTTTTTTAAATAAATATACAGTAAAAAAAAAAAGACATCAGGTTGTTTAAATGCTTTGGCTACTTGTCCCCTGGCTCAGCAGAGGCCCAAATGTCCCAGCTGTTTACTGGGACAGGTTCGACATGGCTCAGCAGATGCTGTCTTCTCTGTGTGGTTCTGGCCCAGCAAGCCGGGCTTTGGGCTGCCAGTGGGTGACTCAGAGGCCAGAGTTTCTTTGGTTCTGTTCTTACTGAGGCAACTTGAGCCCCCTCTGTGTGAGCCCCCCAATACCTGACCCCCACAGAAGCCTGGGGCCACCCTTGCCACTGACTGCTCTGAGCCCAGAGCAGGCTACCAGCCGCCAGAACAAAAGCAAAGGAAGTGCATGGGGAGAGGGGAGCTCCAAGTGGGCCCCCACCACCCACCACCCCCTTGGACAGGAGACCCAAATGCATGGAGGAGGCCCGGTGTCGCTGTGTGACAAACCAGCCCAGACCTTAGTGACTTAAGAACAGTCATGTATTTTGCCACAAATCTAAGTTGAGCAGAGCTTAGCAGGGATGGCTTGTCTCTGCTCCGTGGGGCCACTCTGAGGCAACTCAACTAGAATCCCATTTTCAAGATGGTGGATCACACAGCCAGCAAGTTTGCACGGGCTGCTGGCTGGGAGCTTTGATTCTTAATCACTTGGACCACTCACTCCGTGGGGCTTGCTGAGCATCTTCAAAACACAGAGGCTGGGTCCCCAGGGCCAGTGTTCCCAGAATCCTGAGATCTGGGCCTGGAAGCTGGCAGAGCATCAATTCCATTCTTGTCTATGGGTGCATCAGTCTCCGAGCCTGCCCGGGTTTAAGGGGAGTAGGCGAAGACCCCACGTCCCAGTGGGAGAGGGGTCACGAGTTTGCGGCTGTCTTAGTACGCTGGAGTGGGGCTGGGGAGACCAGAGCCAAATGTTCAAGCCCTTGGGCAGCTCTGACCAACACTTTCTCCCTTGACCACTATGTCCGCATCCGTGCCACACCCCACCTCTCCGACTGCCGCTGCTCCTAGATCCTGTTTTTGGATCTCAAGTTTCAGTCTTCAGCCTTCTGACCTGTTCTCTCTGCACATTGCCCCTTGGGGTTCCTACTGTGTCCTCTGCTCTATGATAATGCCCCAAATCCTGGCTGATATCTATCTGGGCACCAGGCCTACAATTCTGGCAGCCTGGTGGATTTATCCACTCGTATATCCTCATGTACCCCAAACCTGAATACTCAAGGGGTAAATTCATTCTTTCCTCCCCTCCCCTTGCTCTAAATACTCTCCCTCTTTAATGTAAGTTCATTTCCTGACTCTGTCCCTAACTAGCTATGTGGCCTTGAGTCAGGTTCTTTTTCTCAAATGCCTACACAGGATTGAATCTTCTAAGGTCACTTCCATCTCTAAAGTGCTTTGATTCATCCGGGCCCAGAATACTGGACCCACCTTTGTTCATCCCTGCCCCTCACCCTGGGTTCTCCAGATTCTTCTCCCATCTGTCTCTCCTCCTCTCCATTATTCCTTTTTATCTTGTGACTCCCTCTCTCTGAAATCTGTGCCTCTGGATTTGTCCCTCAGGACAAAATCCTCACTCTCCTGCTGAGCCACAGCAGCTCCAGTTTGCCACCTGGCCCTCCTTACCTCTCCAGACCTCCTTCCCTCCGCTCAAGCCGTGACCTCAGAGCTCCATCCCATCAGGACTCAAAATCCTCAAGGTACCTCGTGGGCACACCCACTCGAATCTTTGCTTGTGCCACTGTTCTTGGACAACTCAGGCAGAAGCTACACTTCCTCCCTATCAGTGAAAATCCAACAGTGTTTCAGAGTTTGTCACAGAGCCCACTTCCTCCAGGAAGCCCTCCAGCTCCATGAGCTCTCCCTCTAAAGGCCAAGAATCCATATCATCCTAACACTTTGCACTGATGTTCATTAGTTTAGTTACTTAGAAGCTTGTACTTGTGTGGCTTCTGCCTCACAATTGGTACTTCTCTGAGAGGGAGGGGCCCGTGTTCAGTACTTGGTTCATCTGCCTCACATTGCCCCACACAGTGGGTGCCCTAGAAATAACGTCTGTAACATTTAATCATCAGAATAGAGGCACGAAGTACACGCTGTACTTCAGCAGTGACTTCAGGCAGGTGTCATACTTCAGGCTACCAGATGAAGGGAAGGAGTTGGATGCTAGGCACATACTCTGTGCTAGAAGTTTTGCAAACCTTATTTCATGTCAGCCTCTGGTGATCCGTGATCCCAGCAACAGTGAGTTGCTTAGTCCAGTCCAGCTGCTGTAACAAAATACCATGAACTTGGTGGCTGATAAGCAACAGAAATGTACTTCTCATAGTTCTGGAAGCTGAGAAATTCAAGATCAATGTGCCAGCAGATTCTGTGTATGGTGAGAGAGCTCTGTTCCTCCTAGATGGCCAGACTCACTATGCCCTTGTTGGTAGAAGGAGCTAGAGAGCTCTGTAGGGCCTCTGTGCCTTATAAGGGCACTGACCCCAATCATGAGGGCTCCACCCTCATGACCTAATCACCTCCCAAAGCCCCCACCTCCTAATACCATTACATTGGGGTTTAAGTTTTAACATATGAATTTGGGAGAGGGGGACACAAACATTCCATCTATCGAAGAGATCTATATAAGACTGCATCTCTTTCCCAGTGGAAACCCACCCAGACACTGGGGTTGGGGCTGCTGAGGCAAGAGCTAAGCACATGAATCTACTGAATATAAATCCAAATCCAGGGCTACTTGGTGCCCAGCAGGGCCTCAGTGTCACCAAATGCTGCATAGGGAACACTCCTCAGAGATCAGAGGATCAATCTCATATTCAACCTGTCAGTTCCTTCTGGGTTTGTCCTAGAGAAAAGCCCTGGGAAGCAGATCATGGCCAACAGTTCAGACCTAGAACTGTCATAGCCAAATTCCAGGGCCACCCCTCAGACCAGCCTCTGCAGGTGACTTGAAACGGACCTGCCATCTGTGCGGGGAAAGGTCCTTTACTGTTTACCTGAGGTTATTCACTCTTCCAAAGTTTTATCACTTTAAAATAACCCTATAAGATCTTTGAAGTGCTCTCTCTCTTTTTTTATTTTTTAATTTTTTAAATTTTCTCAACTTAAAAAGTATGTTTTGGTGGGTGGGGAGTATCTCAGAGGTAGAGAGCATGCTTCCATGCACGAGGTCCTGGGTTCAATCTCCAGTACTTCCATTAAAATAAATAAGTAAAAATAAAATAACGGGAAAAAAAACCCATGTTTTGCATTTTATTATGGAAATCTTCTAACATGCACTAAAGCAAAGAGAAGAATAAACTGAACATATCCATCAACCAGATTCAACCATTCTTGTTTCATCTGAGGTTCTTTTAACCAAGACTTGGTGCCTGGAATCTCCAGAGTGGCTGGACCCTGGAGAACCTGGCGGTGGTTACCTCTACCTCCCCCAAACTTCTACCACAGAGCTCAGTAGCCAGGCTTCCCTAGGACCTCAGGAAAATGGAGAGAACACCAAAACCAATAGGCTTTCAGAATCCTGGGAAGCTTTACTCACCTGGTGATGCTGATGTAGGGGAGAAAAAGTGTTTTTCCTCTGCCCATCCTAGACTGACAAAAGACAGATTAGCAAAGGAAGAACAAACATGTTCATTGACGTGTGCAACACACATACACACTGCAGAACTCAGTGATGAGTAACTCAAATGGATGGCTAGAACTCTTAAAAGGACATTAAATTTGTAGAGCGGTGGCAAGGCAAAGGAAAAGTACTTTGAGCTTCTAGGAGTGGCAAATTGTGGGAAGTTAAATATTTGGGGGAAACTAATGGAAGATAAGGGTTTTAGCAAGGTGTGCTATGTAGATTTCTCTGGTGCTGTCTGTGGGCTCTGAGTCTAGAGTCATCTTTGGTGATTAAGAATCACCCTGTCCTTCCTGGTAGGGAGAGGACAGAGAGTTTTGTGTCTACTTCTACTTACTTGCCTGAAGCTCAAAATAATCCTTAAGCCAGGCCAGCATATTTTGGGGCGGGATACTCTGAACCCCTCATTCTCCCATTTGAAACACAAATTAGTTTTACGTATTAAAAGTTGAGTTGGCAGCTGTGGAGAGAGATTTGTGTTAGACATTGTGACTTAAGAGATCTGCTTAAGTTAAGCCTCTATATGCTGTGAGCAACCAGGCACTTAATGAGGGACATTTCTATTGAAAATGAAGGGGCGAAAGAGTTAATGGTTAGAACAAACTGTAACCTCAGCTTTTGAGTCCAGAGGGTAGTGACAAGATTTCTAGGTGGTAGACTCAAAGCATGTTTAGCTGGGGGGGTGAGAATAGCAGTGCCCAGCCAGCAAATTTCCTCGTTTGCGATTTGAATGTCTGGCAATAGCATACACATCAGTGTCACAGTTACAAATAGTTCTCTGTGCAGAGTATGCAGGTGTCCAGCTTCACTGCAGGGTTTCTTCTCCTTCTGCTGCTCCTTCTCCTGTTTTCAGATAGTCTCAATAAAGATCTGGGCAGACAGCTTTTAGTTCCCAGTGGCATTAAGTTGAGAAGATGAAAGGAAAAAATGGGAACGTTAATTACTACAATGGACAAATGTCAGGAGCCAATTTACAAAGAGGTAAAAAAGCCTTGAGACGGTGAGCATGTCTGGAATTCGACAACCCACAAGAATACACTATAGTTATAGTTTTTTCCAATTGACATATAGTGGATTTACAATGTTTCAGGTTATCCTATAGTTTTTTTAAATTGAAACATAGAATTTCTCTCTACAGTTATCCCCATTTCTATCAGAGAAGTCTATTTTGTTTGCAAAATAAATACAATCTCATTAAATCTGGCTAAATTAATTTACGTAAGTGCAGCAAGAGTAGTAACATTTGTCCCCAGAGTGCAGAAGACCTCGGAATTGCTGAGAAGCAGCTGTGAACACCAGTCGTGTGCCCCAGACAGGCGACCTAACTTCTCTGAGCCAGTTTCCTCAACTGTAAAATGTGAATCCTAATACCTACCTAACAAGGGGATTGTGA